GACCAGTGGTTTTCCAAAAAAAAATCACCCTGGACCTCAGGTATATTTGGATCTGCTACAATACAATTTATGGCTTAACTCAGACTTTCCTATGATTTTTTTGATGTGCTATATTCCCCTAATGCATGCTACAATATACACTGGCAGTGTGCAAATTGTGGCCGTTGTGGTTTCAAGTCATCTTGAAGCCGCATTATATTATCATTACAGAGTCAGCTCTAGTGTCTTCTATTTATTCAAAAAAAGGTAGCTTTCTTCTAAAGTTGAAAGAGTGTGACTTGCCAAAGTGGGTTTCCACAGCTAAATGGAGAATTCAAACCTTGGACTTCCAGGAATAATAATACAAGTATACCTCAGCAAAGTAGACTAGATACACTTCTGGACATTACTACTTTAATAGAAAAATTGGTACCAGAGGCAGAACTAACACAAGATGAATAGGGAGAAGTTACTGTATTGGCTGGCTCAATATAATGATTTTCTCAAAAATTGGGAATGCTATTTCTGTAATGTGTGTTTAGATGGATGGTGTTTGCCTGTTCTGACATTTAAAAATGTAAACAAATCTAACAATGTCACTGAAACTACCGGGGATTAAGAAAATGCATGGGTTGTATCCAAAAAAGTATATCTAGTGCTTCCCAAACTTCGATCCTCCAGCGGTCATGGATTTCAGTTCCCAGAAGCCCCAAGCTGCTTGGCCAAGTCAGAAATTCTGGGTTTTGGAGTCCAAAACATTTGGAAGACCAGTTTGGGAAACACTGTACTAGATGGGGTGTTGTGTGGTTTCCAGGCTGTATTCTAGCAGCATTTTCTCCTGATGTTTCACCTGCATTTGTGGCTGGCATCTTCAAAGTATCCAGAGGACCCATGCAGCCCAGAAGCCACAGAACACCCCAGTGATTCTGGCTGTGAAAGCCTTTGACTGTACTAGATATATTCTCCCAGTTTGAGAGGTGCTGTGCACATACCTTCAAGTCACCTGTTCACTTTTGGTGATCCCATGGCTTCCATAGAGTTTTCTTAGGCAAGGAATACCCAGAGGTAGTTTTCCCATTCTTTCTTCTGAAATATAGCTTACAGTACCTGGTATTATTGATGACATCCTATCCAAGTTCTAAGCAGGGCTGACCCTGCTCAGCTGCCAGGATCAGATGGGATCTGGATCTCTGGGTATTTATATACTGTTAAATGTACTGCCAGATTTATGTTTTGTAGCTTTCTTTAAGCTCTGCCCAGAGATTGAAAATCTTCCAGTATAGATAAAACCCTTATGCCTTCATCCATCCATCCATGTGTTTAGGTTTATCTGCCATACTTACTCTATCTGTTCTTTCCAGCTAGCCAGACTAAATACTTCAGGTATACACTTAAATATAGCAAAACATTAAAGCTCTATTGATTCTACGGTGTAGCAGAAGTATACGTGGGAGAAGCACTATCGATTTCCCTTTTTTGGAGAACTGTTTATGCAGAAAGACTAGAAATGTGTCAGCCTAGCTAGAATGCATTGTTTTTAAAGCATAGATTTCCACCTCCCTCTCTCCTAAGTGCTGCTTCTGACATTTGCATGCTTCGTGTTACTTTTGTATTTGTAGATAGAAGCTTTTGAATGCCTTGTAATGTTTCATTTTTTCTACTGGCATTTATCATGAGTAAAAGGGACATTTTTCAAGCCTGATTTATCAACTCATGGGAGAATGGAGGATGAATCTAGGAACCAAAGTACTATAGAATTTCCTTAATAGAATACATAGGAGGAAAATCACAAAAGAGTGATATTTTATTGGGCAACCAAAATGCAGAAAACATATTGTGTAAACTTTCAAAACTCTACTGGGTTTTTATTTTGCTGTAAGGCCAACACCTCTGAATATCTTTCCTAGGTGCCAATTCAGTACTGGGAAATCTGGCTATGCCTAAAATGCAACGCAAATCATAAAATGCCCCAGTAGCTCTTATGTTAGACAAACATAGCTATAGCCCCAGAAAGCTGCAGAATGTGAGTTCTGCAGGGTTTGGAAACAGCAGTATCACTATTAAGAATATAGACTATAGACCCTGATAGCCAAAAGATTGAAATACAGGAGGAGCCCTCCAGGAGTATCCAGCAATGTAACATGTTCTTTCTCACAATTATGATGATTGGATTTGCTGGGAATCCTACAAGCAGGAATTTAAGGCAGTTCTCCCCCTGGTTATGTTCTTCCCCAATTATGGTATGACACCATACTACTAACGAGAAAGAGCAAAGAGAGGAAACTATTACAGAACAAAACTAAGGAAGGAAGTGTAAAAGCAGATTTATAGTTAACAACGTAGCCAGGATTTTGATTCGGGGTGGGGGGTGAGTTTGATTGGGGGGGGGGGACTGAGTCCRAGTGAAAGAGGGTCTACCCTAGCAAACCTTTTGTAYYGTTACCCCAATATCCCCATGCATATGAGATATATTGAGCATGGTGATCAGATAATGATATGAATAAACATAACAGTCTAAATAATGTACCAGTAAGGCCTTTTCGCAGACCCCCATGAGAATTTGGGGGGGGGCTGAAGCCCCCAAAGCCCCCCCCGCCCGCCCGCCCCCCGGCTACATGCTGCCACAGTAAATGATGAAAATGTTGAAACAGTTCAAGATTTTCCATATCTTAGCTCAGATATTAATTAGAATAGAGACTGCAGTCAAGAAATAAGACTACGAGTTGGAAGAGTAGCTATGTGGAAAATAGACAAGATACTGAATTGTAACAATAATTGTAACAATATTTGTAACAATGCATCATTGAATATTAAAGTTAGGATTGCTCATGTTGCCATAGTTCCCATTTTTATGGATGTTTGTGAAAGCTGGACAATTAGGAAAGCTGATAAGCTGATACTAACTAGCTGTGGCACAGTTAGTAGCCAGCTGCATTAAATCACTAACCAAGAGGTCATGAGTTCAAAGCCAGCCCAGCTCGGAGTAAGCTCCTGACCATTAATAGTCTAGCGTGCTGTCAACCTATGCAGCCCAAAAGACAGTTGCATCTGTCAAGTAAGAAATTTAGGTGCTACTTTATGCGGGAAACTAATTTAACTAGTTTACAATACCATAAAACCTTCCAGCAGCATTCAGAAGAATGAGGAAGCACTCTATCAAGGACTCAGTGAAGCAGCAGCTCCCCCTGTGGCCGGAACCAAGCATACCCTCATGAAGCCAGAAACACTGAAATGTTAAATTGTGTCTATGCCTGTCTATATATATTGTATGTCTAAATGGCATTGAATGTTTTCCATGTATATGTGCAGTGTAATCTGCCCGAGTCCCCTGCGGGTTGAGAAGAGGGGGGAATATAAATACTGTAAATAAATAATAAATAAAATTAACTTATTCAAAATGTGGTGCTTGATGGATACCATGGACTGCTAAAAAAAACCAATGGGATCCAAAACAAATTAAGCCTGTACTCTTCCCTAGAAACCAGAGTGACCAAACATATGGATAGAATCGATCAAGGAAACCATGGCCCTGAGTCTATAAAGCCTGAACAAGGCTGTTGAAGACAGAATGAATTATAGTTTTATAATGTCTTTCACCTTCTCTACCAAAGAGTGCTGGCGCCTAACCAAACTACAAATCCCAGGATTCCATAGCATGGAACCACAACAGCAAATATGGTATCAAATTGTATCAATTCTACAGTGCAGATGCACCCTAAAACTAAGGTGGTTCAAAGCATAGATGAAAGCAAAATGCGGGTAACTAACAAGGATTTATATCCTATTGTTAGACTCAACTAGAATAAAATCAGAGTTGAATTAAGTATGAGCTGATTCAATGAGCCACTAAGTCAGTGGATATACTCCAATTAGAACAAACAAAAAGATATGTGATTATGATAACATATTTTTTAAAAAGTCATCCTACTAAAAATGAAGATAATTCAAAATAGCTATCAAAAGGATTTCAAACAGAACTGTGAGAACTATGACAGTGTGGTGTAGTAGTTTGAATGTTCGACTAGGACTCTTAGAGACTACAATGTGAATCCCCACTAAGTCATGGAAACCCACTGAGTGACTTTTTGGCAGTTCAGATTCTATCAGCCTTTAGAGAATAGTAACGCAAACCTAACTTCTCTGAAAAGATCTTGCCAAGAAAACCTTCACCTTAGGGTTGCCAGAAGTCAGAAGCAACTTGAAGACATAATATGAGAAGAAAAGTACAGTTGTGCCATCAGACTTTTAGACACTTGAATGAACAACGTAAGTTCATAATGTACTCTTCTCCTTTCTTTTCTAGACAGAGAAACTTGTAAGAAGCTCTCCTCCATGGTCTCATAGGGCTTTCTGATGCAGGAGAGAGAAAGGGAGAGCCCTGTTCACCTCATGCACTGCTGAGTTGCTGCAGCAGCTGCTGAATTTCATCATCAATGGCAACAAAAGTGTATTATCCACAAAGGGTTGTGAGGCTGTCACTGCAGCGCTCAATTCAAAATTGCCCACCTCTGAGCTAAATGGCAGTAGATCTAAAATAGAAATATAAGTGTGTGATCTCTTCACAGCTACAAAAGGAAAGAGAATGAGGGAATGTATTCAGCATGGCTCAAGTCTTGTTCTCATAGAAATTTAGCATTACATTCAAACTTAGTCAATGGATGCAGAGAAAAGTATGATTTGCAAATGGTCAGACATGTAAACAAACATTACCTATTCCAAGATGAGCAGAATATTAAAGATTAAAGGAAAAAGTAAACAAGAAATGGCAAAAATTCCATAACATTTTGGATAATCAATTACTTAGACAAACCTAAGGAGATAACACCCACCAAAAAGTTTTTGTGTGACCCCCCACATCTAGCATACACTATGCTTGCATTTTTAAGCTTTGTTTGTAGCCAAACTTATTTTAAACACCATCTGGACAAGATAAGCTTTAGATTACATATTCACAAATTCATCATATTTTAGATTACATATTCACAAATCTTGTCAAAGAGGGGCAAAAGGAAACCAGAGAATATTTTAAAGAAACTGTATATTTTGCAAAAGGCAATGCAATATCTCAAGCAAAAAAAAGTAGACACATTTGAAAAAGCAACACTGAGAGTCAACTGTTTCAGGAATACAGTGATGCCAGGACATAAATTGTCTTGTCAAAAATATTAACAGAAGGAATGAGTTTTTGGTAGACTCCACAGGCCCCAAATGAAGACGACTCCATCACACTCTAAGCAGCATATTCCACTGCTGAACAGCAATAAACACAAAGAAGTTATCGCTAATGTTTAAGTGGAATCTCTTTTCCTGTTGATAGAAGTAGTTGATCTATGTTAGTCTCTGGAGGTGCTGAAAACAAGTCTACTTCCTCCACAAAATGGCATCCTTTCAAATGCTTGGCTGTCATGTCCCCTCTTAACACTTTCTTCCCCAAGATAAATATACCCAGCACCCTAAGTTTATTATAAGGTTATTTTTGGCTCAAGAGAAATGTGTTCGCTGACTATCCCCATAACCCTTTTTGTATACATATATATTACAGGAACCGATATGCTATGATGCCCTACATCTATGATACCCTATATCCCAAAATATCAAGGCAGAAAATCCCACATTACCTCAGTGTAGACTCAGATAACCCAGGGCCCTTCCACACAGCCCTATTTCCCAAAATATCAAGGCAGAAAATCCCACAATATCTGCTTTGAACTGGGTTACCTGAGTCCGCACTCAAATAATGTGGGATTCTCTGCCTTGATATTCTGGGATAGAGGGCTGTGTGGAAGGGCCCTGGGAGACCAAAGTTTGAAACCCTGGCCCTCCATGGAAGGCCTTGTGCAAATCACACTCTTTCAGTCTCAGAGGAGGAAAGGGCAAACTTCTCTGAATAAATCTTGCCAAAGAAACCCCATGATAACTTTGCCTTAGGATCACCATGAGTCAGAAACCATGGGCCCTTCCTCACAGCCAAATAACCTAGAATATCAAGGCAGAAAATCCCACAATATCTGCCTTGAACTGGGATTTCTGAGTCCACACTGCCATATATTCCAGTTCAAAGCAGATAATGTGGGATTTTATTCAGCTGTGTGGAAGGGGCCTATGTGAAGGTACCCAACAATTTATTACAGATATGCAATGGTCTACATAGCTATAAACACATTTGTACAATTACTTTAACACTATAAATATGTGTAGTAGGGTGAGACCTCTTGCCCTATTTCCAAAATAAGTTGACACTCTGGTTCTAAAACACAAGTGGAGATAAGATAGATAATATGAAATTCTCCATGGTGCTTGAGATCACATTAGGTTGTTTATTATCAAGCACACTGAATAATGTTTAAATGAGGATTTGTTCTTGTATATTCGTTCAGTTGCTTCCGACTCTTCGTGACCTCATGGACCAGCCCACGCCAAAGCTCACTGTTGGCTGTGACTACCCCCAGTTCTTTCAAAGTCAAGCCAATCACTTCAAAGATACTATCCATCCAACTTGCCCTTGGTCGGCCCCTCTTCCTTTTTTCTTCCATTTCCCCCAGCATCATTGTTTTCTCCAAACTTTCCTGTCTTGTCATTATGTGGCCAAAGTACTTCATGAGTATTTATGTGCATACTTTTAAAATGCCTGCTCCGCATTGTTTCCAACAATGGAATTCAATGGCATGTGAAAATATTGACTTTGAAAATGATTAAACATGTAGCATGTCTCCTTTCTGAATTAAAAAAAAAAACAGTTTAAAAGAACCTCAACATTAACATAACAAACCAACAGGAATCTGTTTCCAGGAAGAGTAGACAAAATGGGAATAGAATGAAAAGAAATAAAAGTAAATCATCCCTGAAATCCTCCAGGGTTTTATCTTTCAAAGCTAACTCTCAGCAATGGACAATCAATATCTTAAATACTGTAAGCACCGACTAAATAGGTACTAGAAGCAAGGAGGCCATTCCGTTGAAACAGACATATATGCAGTTTTGCAATTCTATGCAATTGCATGAGAAAAAAAAAAACATTTCCAGTATTTAGGACAGCATTTCAATTCCCTGCAGTTTACTGTCTTTTCACATGACTAGCTGAACATTTTAAATATGCAAATATTATAAAATCAAGTTGCTTTCCACAAATAGCCAACAATTATACAAACCAGGATTGCACGATAAACAAGAATCATATAATAAAATTGTGTAATAAACATAGAATGGAGATTTTCTCAGTAAACCACTTAATATACCTTGTTTGAAGTTTGTCTAAAGTTTGTTTTAAAAATGGGATGTCATATATGTATGTTTTGATTGCATTCACAATGAAAATACACTTTTGTTCCATTTGTTGGAAACAATACATATACCAACAGTAGCCTTACATAGTCATTAAACAAAAAGTAAACAAAAAGATGGTACCAGAGTATGTAATCTTCTGAAATATAAACATATGGCATTAGAAATACAAAAATCAATATAGTCCACATCATATATTTTTTTTGAAATGTATATACATTTTACCACTACAGTTGGCTTTAAGAAAGAGTTACCCCCTTGTCTCAGCAAGTCACCTCAGTTTGTCTCTGTGCTCTTCCAAATTATTAGGAAGGACAGACAGAAGGATAGTAAAGGCTTTGAGCTATAAGGAAATCCAAAACATCTCTGCTAAATAATAACTCTTCTTGTTGATCAGCAGTCTAAGTTCTACCAGATACTTTGCAAAAGCATTCCCCTCTGTCATCACCCACAGATCCAAGTTCACATCTTCTTCATCTTCTTCTTGCTGCGTTGATTGAAAACTGGTGAAGATCCCATCAAGCTATCTGGAGAATGAGAACCATAGCTGCTTTCGGAGCCGTTTGGGCTCTGCGGTCTGCCTGCTTCACTCATGCCCGACATGGGTTCCTCAAACACATCACTGCCCAGGACTCCATGGTGGCCATGGACGGCGCCTTCCTCACTCTCCTGTGGCTCCATTTTCACTGGGGCCAAATTCCAAAGAGGGGAAGTATTCACCTCACCACCTAGAAATAATAATAATAATAATAATAATAATAATAATAATAATAATAATGCATTTATAACCCGCCTCTTCTTGCAGCTTGAGGTGGGTACAATGTTGTTAAAACAGAGATAAAACACTATTAAAATACAAGATACACAGAGTTAAGATGCAGTTGTAAATTCAGTGATAAATGCAGATTGAAATTCACAAACTAAAATTGACCAGGTAGACCTGCCAGAAGAGATGGTTCTTCAGTTGCATTTTTAACTCTGACAGCTGATTTAGCTGTCATATCTCTTCTGGCAGTCATTCCAAAGTCTTGAGGCAGCTAATGAAAAGGTCCTCTGGGTGACGGATCCAAGTCAGGTTTTGGCTGGTTGGAATAGCCGCCCCCCAGAGAACCTCAGTGTCTGGGGCCCATTGTAGAGAAGAAGCCAGGCCTACAAGCAACCTGGACCCAAACCATGTAAGACTTTAAAGATCAAAACCAATACTTTGTACTTTGCCCAGAAGCTAACTGGCAACCAGTGGAGTGACTTTAGTATACTTATGATATTCTTGATTCTGGATGTTCCTGTAACTAGTCTGTCTGCCATGTTTTGAACTACAGGCAGTGCCTGAGCCACAAATATCCTACTTACAAGCGACTCATAGTTAAGAATGGGGGTGAGACAACAGGAAGTGAAATAAATTTCCCCTAGAAAGGGAAATTCACTCCTGAAAAAGTTATCATGGGGAAAATGTGTCTCTACTGAAGTTTTATCACCAGTCCTTGTTTCCACTACAAGAAAAAAATTTCAAAATTCAATCACAGGGACAGAAGGTAAAGTGAAATCTTCTGAACAGGGGCACAGACAGCAAAACAAACACCACAGGGGAGTTAACCCTTCCCTCTGCTTTCCATAGATAGATAATAGATAGACAGGCAGATAGACAAACAGATAGATTCGGATGGAATTACACTTTTAAAATGTACCTGTTTCAACTTATAAACAAATTCAACTTAAAAGCAAACCTACAGAACCTATCTTGTTCAAAACTTGGAGACTACCTACAGTTGGAGTTTTTGAACTTGGTACAGAAGTAGCCCAATGTAAAGTGCCTTGAAGACATGCAACCTTGAGGAAAGAGCTGGCAGTAAAGTAGAAGGAAGTAAGGCTTCTCATAAAGAGCACAATAGGAAAAGGAGGAAGAAACAATGAAACTGTTGAACTGGCTAGTTTGGATAGGAACAAGTTTTAAAAAACGAACTGTGTAGGCAAAACTGTTAACATTCTGAACCATCTCTGATATAGCCTGGCTCCATCTGGAAGCTTTGCAAAATTTTGATAAACCCCAAAGGAAGGCTGAGTGAAGTAAACACACCATGAAGCAATTCACTTAGTGGATGGCTGACTGGAAACAGGGAAGATACGGGAAACAGAACAATAAAACACAGGGGCAACCGACTAGAAGCCATTTTATATTCCTGAGACACTTCTCTTTCTGTCTAGCTTTAACACACCGTACAAATGAACTGGAGGGGTGGTACACCCTTCAACAACTTCACAGCCAGTTCCCCAAGGCCTCGCTGATGAAAACAAAGATTATAAAGGAGAGGCAGAATGTCTTCTTCTTCATTAATAATAATTTCTCCCCTATTAGAGAATCACAAGGCATTTGATACACCGCCAACATAGTAACCTCTCATTCTTAGCAGTGAAACATTCACATGAAGCTTTCCCCATGAAACTCTCAAATCCCCAGATGGCTTAGGAATCACTTGCTGCATCATCTCTGCCAGAACAAGAGGATTTAAAATTTCTGAGGCACTGTAGGAGAGCAGTGAGCTACAGCAGAACAAAAAGATTTGTATTTTCTATAGCACATTCTATAAAAAGTTAAAGAGCTTGCAATCTTAACTCCTTTAGAGATAGAGTCAGTTAAGGTTAAGAAGATACCTTGGTGTGTGTGTGTGTGTTAAGTGCTTCTAAGTAGAACATTTAGTACTGCAGGGAACTATGGTGTTCAGCAGACTGGAAAACAAAGCTAAACAGAAGAGCAGATCAAGACATTCCAGGTGGAGGGGCTAGACTTTTAAGAACCTTTTTCCTAGAAATGAGAAATCATGAAAATGATATGTTTGAAAGCTCCAGTGGCTATAATATCAGATAGAAAGATGAGTTGTTACATGATGCATGCTCACTGTTGTGCCTCATGAGAACTTCAGAGTGGGATGCATTCCATAGCGGTTTCATCCCTCAATTCTCTGCTTTAGACAGCCAAACATATCAGTTTTGTGGATGCAATCAAAATACATGGACATTGAAAAGCCCTTTGGCACCTGAATGGGTAATAAGTTTTATTTGGCCTACGCTTTTGCAGACTGAAGCCTATGTCATGGGATGCATGTGAAAGCCTTTGTCAAAACCTCTAGTAATGAAGATGCCTCAAGCCTCCTTGTTTCTGCTGCAATTGAATAACATGGCTACCCACATGGAAAACCAAATACAGAGGTCCTAGTAAGGATCTTGACATCCTGAAATAGGATAGTGGTCTTGTTCACAGGACCATCCCAATGAAAGTAACTGCCACTTCATATTAATCTAAACTAAGAGGCCTCACAAATAATCTATTTCTCATTAAGATTTGTTCTTTAAATAATTCTTTAAAGGGGATATTTGAACTTGCTAGCTTTTTGTACCATGTAATTTTCCAAAGTTGATAAGCTTTTCAGTCTTCTTATATTGGAGTAGGAATTCATGTCACCTTCCAAAATGTTGTAAGACTAGAATTCCAGAAGTCTTAGCCACCACAGTTAATGATTAGGAATGCTAGAAACTGCAATACATCTCCATTATTCCCACCCTTACCATAAAAAGAAGCACAGAAACTATAATCTTTTTACTTAAGCATGGTTCTAGGACTAGTTTGTGAAGTATAGAAGAACAGGTTTTCTGTGCAACAGCCTTCGTGTATTTTAAGAGTGAGACCATGAGCCCGCTCAATCTTCTCTTTGTCTGGCTAAACATATATTTAGTTCCTTCAACCTTTCCCCACAAGACTTGTTTTCTACAGAATACTGTAACACTGAAATCCACATGGGAAATTAGTATTAGGCAGTTAACATAAAGTGCGAACTGTTTACAGTTAAATCTAATGGAAACGCAGTGCATGTATTTTGAAATAATTGTTTACCAGAAACCAGTTATCTCACTTTAAAAAAAAAATTACATCCCATGAAAATAAAATAGAGTTAAGAACCATGGACTATGAAATGCTATAAAGAAATTACCTTTTTCCTGCCTTAAATTTAAATACCATAGGGAACTCATTATACATTAAATGACTCCTTGAACTTAGAAACTTAAGAGCCTCTTACATATCCCCAGAAAATTCCTTGATCATAGCAACCTAATTCTAGCTGTTTTTGTTAAAAATAGAAAAAGTTTCCTCTGACTTTATTACTCAGACATGGGTTAGTTCACCTTTGGCTTCACCATAATCTTGGGAAATTTCTGTGGTGATTTATAATCAGTGATCAGACATAAAAATTGTGTTTAACTAAACTTCTGAAGTGTGTTGAGCCTCATCGGCATAGATGCTGCTGAACTGAGGCATAATCATGATCAGACATGCAAAAGATTTAGTTATGCTTTGTATGTAAAGTATACATATTAAAATTTCACTCAATACTTGGACCTGCCTACTGCTAGAATGTGGTGCTAAAACCCTTCAAAACCCAGTGTTTCTTTCTCACCTCCCATAACACTACCATCAACCTATTTAAAGAAATACATTGTCAAAGGTTTAACATGCAACTGAAAATGTGAAAAATGATGAAACATCTAAAGTGATGCCCATGGTCACTATTAAAATTTTAGAACAAGTGAGCCACAGATTCAAAATAGAAGTCAACACTACTACTTCTATCTATCTGTAATTAGCTTTCTCATCTGTTTGGATAAGTCAGGCTACTATGCAAAAGTAACATGTACCTGATGTCTGTGGGGATGTCTCCGCTTCCAGGTTGGCTGAGAAACGCTCACTTTGTGCTCCAAGAACTCCAACAGGCAAAGACTGATCCCCAGAGGCTAAATCCCCTTCCAGCTCTTCACTCATGGGAAAAGTGATGTCACTGACCGGCTCTTCCTTGATCTTCACAGGTTTCATATCTTCAGCTGCCTTCTCAGGATTCACAAGCTTTTCATACTCTTCAGAGAGTTGCTTACTGATCTGCCAGTAGCCCATTTGGAAAAGGAAAACATAGAGTGATATCAAAAAGAAGTGAAAAAGATAGAGTACATTGCCCCCACGGCCTTGATGCCTAGCTCATTGCAACCAAGACAACTTTTCTAAAATAGATAATTGTACTGTAGAAAGAGGACAGGATCAGAATTCAAAATTATCTTCAGATTGTAAAACTAGGCAAAAACTAACAACATGAATTGCAACAAGGGGAAATGTAGGATACTACACTTAGGCAGAAAAAAATGAAGTGCACAGATACAGGATGGGTGATGCCTGGCTCAACAACAGTACATGTGAAAAAGATCTTGGAGTCTTAGTGGACAATAAGTTGGACACGAGCCAACAATGTGATGCAACAGCGAAAAAAGCCAATGGGATTTTGGGCTGCATTAAAGGGAATATAGTATCTACATCAGTGGTTCTCAACCTGTGGGTCCCCAGATGTTTTGGCCTTCAACACCTGGTAAACTGGCTGGGATTTCTGGGAGTTGTAGGCCAAAACATCTGGGGACCCACAGGTTGAGAACCACTGGTCTACATCAATGGAAGTCATGGTGCCCCTCTATTCTGCTTTGGTCACACACCTCACCTGGAATACTGTGTCCTATTCTGGACACCACAATTTAAGAGAGATATCGACAAGGTGGAAGTGTCCAGAGGAGGGCAACTAAAATGATCAAAGGTCTGGAGACATTGCCCTATTAGGAATGGCTGAAAGAGCTAGACATCTTTAACCTGCAGTCGAGAAGGATGAGAGGAGACATGATCACCATGCCATAAGGAAGAGGGAGCAGACTTGTTTTCTGCTGCCCTGGAGACTGGGACCTGGATCAATGGGTTTGAATTACAGGAAAGGAGATCCCACCTGAACATTAGACAAAACTTCCTGATTGTGGGAGCTGCTCAGCAATAGATCTCTCTGTCTCGAAGAGTGGTGGCAGCTCCTTCCTTGGAGGCTTTTAAATAGAGGCTGGATGGCCATCTATTAGGGGTACATTGATAGTGTTTTTCCTGCATGACAGGGGGTTGGACTAGATAGCCCATGTGATCTCTTCCAACTCTATGATTCTATGACTCTTCCCACGTGATTGTCTGGGTTCTAACAACAGGACGAATACTGTGGAAAGGTGTAGGATTCCAATGGCTGCCACACACTTGTAAAAGGTCTTTAGCCTTCTCTGAAAAAGAATGCAAATAGTGCCTCACCCAACTCCAAATCCCAGGATGCCACAGCATTTAGCCCATGGTAGTTAAAATGCTATCAAATTGCATTAATTCTACAGTTTAGATGTACGCTAGGAAAGAACACCTAATGTCCAGGAAATTCTGCATGTTTCAACCAGTCAATAATCTCCATTTGACATAAAGCAATGAGAATTCCCTACCTCCATGCATGTTTTCCCAATGGAGTGCAATTCTTGGAAATGTGCAAAATGCACATCCACAACTGCAACTCAGCAATGAATTGGATGAAAAGAATAAACATTTGAATTCCATTTACTATGGAATACCATGGGGATTACTTTGCTTACCATGTTCTTTTCTTACCTGTAGCACATGGCTGTGATAATCTTTAATCCGGTGCTGCCAGAAGCTCTGCAGAGAGAGCACACTTCCAATGCCCACTTCATGGAAGACCTGTTCCATGACATCTGGGAAAGGGGTCTGCCCAAGCCGGGCTTCTCGGTCCACTGCAGAACGCAACAGCTTTGTAAACTTCAAGCAGTACTCATGAGCAATGTCTGTCAGAGTCTCTAAGACGCTCTCGTTGGCGCATTCAAAGCCTGCATGAGCCAAAATGGTAGCTATGGATTGGTAGAGAAGCTGGCGGCAAGAAGTCCAACTTAACTCCATTACTGGCTCTCCTTTGCCTCTGAAAGCAGACAGAGGACAGAAAGGCCTTGTTGAAAATAGGGAAACGACTGCTACTTTGAATGGGGATAAACATTTCAAGCATATCTAAACGAGACGCAAGACAATTTTTTTTGTAATTTTCATGCATGAGGTTTAGTCTGATAAAAACCAGCTTTATTTGGGGGGGGGGGGGATAGAAATACCATATATTCTCAAGCATAAGCCAAGTTTTTCAGCCCCTTTTCAGGCTGAAAAAGCCCCCCTTGGTTTATACTCAAGTCAAAGTTACTTATTATTTTACTGGGTTATTATTATTACATTTATTATTTTACTCTATTACTATAACATTTATTATTTTACTCTATTTATTATTATTTTTATTACATTTATTACTTTACTCTTTTTATTATTATTGGAAGGATATGTAAGCACATTTACATTGAAGAAGGTTAGAATAGTAACAAAACAAAATGATTAACTTGTCAATATGGAAGGCAAAGGGGTGAGTGTGGGGAGGGAGAAGGGAATGAAAAAGGAAAAAAGTATGGTAATTATGGTTATGTATATTTAAAAAAAAGAATAATAAAAAAGGTTAGAATAATGATTTAATCAGAGCTGGACAGTCTTATCCTAAATTACAGTTTTATGTAAATATTCCAAAAACATTTAACCTAGTGATGCCTCCATTAATGTAATTTTAGTGTTATTCATTTTTATTTTGAAATTTACCAATAGCTGCTGCATTTCCCACTCTAGGCTTATATTCAAGTCAATATGTTTTCCCAGTTTTTTGTGGTAAATTTAGGTGCCTTGGCTTATATTCGGGTCGGCTTATACTTGAGTATATAAGGTATATACCAAAGATCTGCTGATGCAGATTTTTCAGAGTGCAAAGTGAAGTATTTGCTTTGAGACATTGAATTTAAGTCCTAGAACTTTACCTCACAGCAAAACAGTAATGTTCATTACAAAAACACTTTCTACCACTGAATCCAAATATGCATTTTACATATTTTAAAACACAAAAAACCTCTTGTATACCTACACCTAGTAAGTATTTACACAGTGAAACAATTCAATCAAATGTTTTACACTGTGGTAGAACAAAATCTAGAGTCAGGCACCATGTAAATAAATTTGAATAAATAACAATTTCCTGCTTACCTGAGGAGGGTAGGAACTATTATTTATTCAGATTTTAAAATCTGTACTCTGAAACGGTTTGGGCAATTTCCCAAATATTCAGAGTACCATATAAGAACAGATGAAGGTGTTTGACCAGTCAGAATAATTGTTCAAGCTGTGCTAAAGCAAGCATTCATCAGAATAACAAGGCTGCCAAATTATCAGAAAGGTTTCCACAGATGTTATTAAAATTACTGTACTAAAGCAATGAAATGAAATTCTTATATAATGCTCAGAGCAATATTTCTATTTTAAAGTGCCTGCCAGTAATGCAGATGGTCAGCAAAAAGAAAAACTCCAGCACAGCTAACATTAAGATTGTTTTTTATCTTCATACAATGTTATCTACAGACTAATAATGTAACAATCTGATAGCTGCAGTCCTCAATTCAAATCTCCAGTATTTTGATTAGCAGAAACTAGAGCTTACAAATATTAATAGCAATGAAAAAAAACATGTCAGATAATGTAAAAATATGCTTTATACCAGCTGTGATCACTGATCTATCAATTTCAGTATTGTCTACATAAGTCTTTTCCAAACTGCTCCCTCTTCCACAAATGTACTGAAGACAATTCTCATCACCCATTGATAATGGCCATGCTGGTTGAGGATTATGGAAATTGCTGCACAATGCATCTTGAGGCTGCTGGCAGAGGAAATATTGGTCCTGTTTATACTGATCATCAGAGGTTCTCTAAGATTTCAGGTGCCACACTTCCTAAAGTACCAGAGATGGCACTAGAATTTTTCCTGCATGCCAAGCACATGTGTTACTATTAATCTAGAAGATTCCAGAGCTTTCTAGTGCAGTGGTTCTCAACCTGTGGGTCCCCAGATGTTTTGGCCTTCAACTACCAGAAATCCTAACAGCTGGTAAATTGGCTGGGATTTCTGGGAGTTGCAGGCTAAAACACCTGGGGACCCACAGGTTGAGAACCACTGTTCTAGTTATATTTAATGTATTTTAAAAGCCATCCACACACACAAAACAAACACCAGAAATGGGTATCTGAACATTTTCTCTTTTTAGAACGCCCATCCATGGGCAGACTATACCTCTGAATAGAGCCCAATAGTAAACCTTTCAGTCTAGATAAATAGATAGATAGATAGATAGATAGATAGATAGATAGATAGATAGATAGACCAACCACAGTATGAGTGTGTTTGTTGGTTTGTCTGTACCACACAGGCTCCTACATGGCTAATGGATCTGGACTAAACTTGGCACACATACCCTTTCATGATCCAATTTCAAATCAATGCAGGGTTTCAACTACAAAATATATCCTGTTTTGTGATAAGGGTCCCCAAAAATATATACGTGTGTGTGTGTGTGTGTTTGTGTGTATGTAATAATTTATATCTAAATAATAAAACAAAAGCCTTTTGGGGTTAATGGCGCTTTACTTTCCATGTCTTGTGCTCTTTTCCATTTTGCTCTCTGAAAATGTTCACAAAATATCACTGAAAGCAATGCAAGGTTTTCCCATTTTAAGTAAGTAAATCATGTGGCCCATTTCCTGTTTAACAAGCATGTTAAGGCAAAGGTCTATTTGATATGTACAGGAACAGTTTAGTGATACAAAAAAAGTTGAGTTTCATTCAAGTAAAATGATAGCCTGAAATAACCGGTCTTTCCAAAGATAAACTGCATGAGAAAAGTAGTTTTAGAAAGCAAAGACTGCTTTCTCACGATTGCTTCAATTTTATGAAACATTACACTGCTGAGCTATCATTCCTAAGAAATGTGGTGCAATCAAATTGCACTATAACGGAATTTTGTTTCCAAACAAAATTAAAGGCAATGGCAGTGAATTTTTTAAAAGACTGGATTAGTTATAGGAACATAATACTGACAGATTCAAAAACAGAGAAACCTTTTCATCCACAACTAAGCAAATGAAAAGGACTTATATTTTTGAATCCATCAATATTATGTGTAATTAATGTGGCCTCCTAATAACCATGTTTTCCACCCCTGCATTTTTCTTTCCTTGACTTGCTTATGGAAAAAGCAGCAATTGTTGGCTGGACCTCAGCTATTAGCAGTAGTGTCAGTCTGACAATCGCCCCACAACAAGTTGCTGACAATGACTGGAGCAAGCATTGCAATTACCAGCAATGCCTGACAGCAGTGACACCTGACAAAGGGCCATTAAATCTCCCTTTGAGCAACAGACAGGATAGCCAAAGTTAAATAACAGACACGATAAAGAAGAGTAACCTAGCAGCTACTGAGTGGTAGGCTGTGATCAAACAGCCTCTGAATGGAGTATGGAACCACTTCCCTTTGTCTAAGGCCCTAGGGAACTATGCAGGCAAAGAACTCCCTGTTTGGGTTTGAAATGTGGTTATATCCCAGAATATCAAGGCAGAAAATCCCACAATATCTGCTTTGAACTGGCTTATCTGAGTCCACACTCACACACAGATAATGTGGGATTTTCTTTCTAGATATCCTGGGATATAGGGTTGTGTGGAAGGGCCCTGCGTCAGCAATCTTACACAACCAAATTAGTAAAGTGGCTTAAGCACTGGACTACAGCTCTGGAGACCAGAGATGGAATTCTTGCTCCACCAGGGGAACCCAGTGTGTGACCCTGGGTAAGTCATACTGTTATAGACTCAGATGAAGTTAATCATGAATACACCTTGCCAAGAAAACCCTCACTTAGGGTGATCAACAGTTCGAAATGACTCAAATGAACACAACAACAAAGCATGAGTAGAATAAGACAGAGAACGACCTTGCTTTTTCTTTTCTATTAAGACAACCATATCTACAATTCTATAATAAAAAGGATGCTTTGGCTCCAAGTTTTCTTTCTTGATGGGAGACTACACTAAAAGGCCTTTGAGGAATTCCAAGCCTGCAATTCTGTTCATTAAAGTAACACAACAAATGACGGGAGTAGATAATAAAAATTACTTTTGTGTGGTTCTTGGGAGGTGGGGGGAATCAACTATTAATTTCAGACACACCTGTAAAAGTCACTTTCTGGATCACTGTGCCTCAAATGAAACGGCATCCTGGGCGTTTTGCTATCAAGCGGAAGCAAGTCGTCAGGAGGAGGTGGGGAGCCAGGGCAGGTCGGCAAAGGCTCACTTTCTTCCATCTTTATGCCCTCCACTTGCTGTTGGTTCTGAGCCTGAGCTGTGGCAATAAGGCTCCGCAGCCTTCGATTGTGCTGGATCAGCTGGATAGTGTGAGTAGTTAGGCTACAGGGTTCCGAGGGAATGTCCAGCATCGTAGTGGGCCTGGGCTTGTTAGCTGAAGGCTGATGCAGAGGTGGATCCTGGACCTCCACGGTTCGAAACTCTCTCTGAAGCAAGTCAAAGGAGCTGCGGTTGGCCTGGCTGGAAGAAATTGGGATCTCACCCCAGTAGCGCAGCATCTTGTTATCAGCTGATGTTAACGATATCTACTAAAACAATTCTGATAATAAAGAAACTCTCCTGGAAGCCTTTGCAGTTTCCTTAAACAAGGAAATGAAGTTTTTGATTTAATTGGAAAGATATGGGACAGGGGACATATTTCAGTTATACTGTCCACAGTTATTATTCACAGGAGGAGGCCCCATTCAGTTATACTCTTCATTAGACATGTGGGTAGATATGCTCTCATTACTTCTGGAAAAAAAGAGAAAGCACTGACAAATTATGCCATTTTACAAAAGATCCCCATACATTCAAATTAGGTCAGAAGACAGATCTCATTATGTAGTAACATTTATATTCTCAAAGGAAAATCAGCTATGGATTCTTTATTTCAATAGTAAAGTGTTATTAGGTGTACCACTGCTTCTTACGCTGTGGGTCCTGACCCCAAATGGGGTTCCCTTAGCTCACTGTTGGGGTTTCTGGATGCCACCCATTGACGCAAATCTGTTAGGAACAACTTGCGGTGTTTACAGTGGACTCTGCAGCTGTACTGCACAAAAAGGAAAATCAGCCTGTTCAGCAAGCCTTGCAAATGCTGGTTTATTTTCAGTAAAAGCTTACTTTTTATATCTATTTTATATACCTATATACCTGGGGTCACATAAACATTTCTCAGTTGAAAAGGGGTCATGAGTGGAAGAAGTTGAAGGAACCCTGAGGTATACTACACATAGTCCTGACTAAGTCTGCAACTCTCATTCCCATGTCATTTTAAGAGCAATACAAAATTAATATTTTCATCATATCCATCAGTTTCTTTTTCTCTTTTCCTCTTTATCACGTACATACACACTTTAACATCCAATGGGAAGATCTTCTGAAGCAGGGAAGGCTTGCTTTGTTGCCTTCAGGCTGATCAAAAAACTGTTTCTGTTTTTAAATCTAAAATACTCCTTCAATAACTTTATAGCACTGACAGTCTAGATGAGCTATGGGCAAACTTGGGCCCTCCAAGTGTTTTGGACTTCAGCTCCCACAATTCCTAACAGCCAACCAGCTGTTAGGAATTGTGGGAATTGAAGTCCAAAACACCTGGAGGGTCCAAGTTTACCCGCGGCCTGTTCTATACTCATCTTCTTAGAGAGGGACATATAAAGATAGCTATGCTTTGAGAGGGCCCCTTACAATCATGAACATACAGTATAAAGGCTGTCCCAAAAGTCTCCATACATATGAAAAATTAACAAACTCATATTTTATATCATTAATACTTTTATATTTATTTATAGTCCTATTTTGTAAGATGTTGTAATGAATATTTTGTAAATAAAATACATTTAGCTACAATTTCCCATTATGGTGACCTTTGAGACATCCTGTTTATAATTTTAAAAGTCCATTTATAAGACTAAATAAGTTTGTCCTAAAAAAAAACTTCTTACTTATTTCGGGGGACAATGTGCACCTGCAATGTAGCTTACAAAGTCTTCCTTTGACCCAGTGGTAAAGGGACAATGTCCTGGGTCCCTTCCACTCAGCTGAATAAAATATCACATTTTCTGCTTAGAACTGGAACATACTGTTTCATTTGCAAGAATAACATGAGGGATTTTATCAAAGACCTTACTGAAAGCTCTATTTCAGGGCCCTTCCACCCAGCCCCATATCCCAGAATATCAAGGCAGAAAATCCCACATTATCTGAGTGTGGACTCAGATAACCCAGCTCAAAGCAGATATTATGGAGTTTCTGCCTTGATATTCTGGGATATAGGGCTGTGTGGAAGGGCCCTCAGGGGAAGGAACTGGCAAAACGACCTCTGAGGGCCCTTCCGCACAGTCATATTGAGGGAGATGTAGTATTAAAAGGGATTTCATAGATGCTTCCAATGATTATAAGTCCCACATGTCCTGATTTGCAAAGGCAATGGTTTGCTAAAATGCTGATTAGAAAATACTGCCACAGAGAGGAAATTACTCTTAAGGATGAATTCATCAGAATAGAACTGACTAGATAGTACTCCCTAATTTCCAGCCACTTGAAGTTTGTGCTTGAAACAGAAAACCAGATAAAACCAACCCACAGATGCTTGGAAATTAAGACAGTCAGGGTCGGAGACACAGGGTCATTCCACACAGCCCTATATCCCAAAATATAAGAACAGAAAATCCCACATTATCCGAGTGTGAACTCAGATAACACTGTTGATAGCAGACATTGTGGGATTTTCTGCCTTGATATTCTGGGATATAGGGCTGTGTGTGGCCATGAAAATATAATTGTGTCATTGTTTTAATCTTTCGCAATTGGCCCTACTCACTGTGATTGAGGTTCTGTGTTTTACTGTTCTGATATTGTTTGTTCTGTTTATTTGTATCGGTGTTTGTATTTTACTTTATTATTTTTCTTTCATTATTTTTGTTGCACCAGGATTGTGGCGCAGCTGGCTGAGTGTCAACTGCATTAAGATCACTCTGACCAAAAGGTCATGAGTTTGAAGCCAGCCCGGGTTGGAGTGGGTTTCCAACCAATTGTGTAGCCTGTTGTCGACCTTTGCAACCCGAAAGACAGTTGTATCTGACAAGTAGGAAAATTAGGTACCACCTTAAAGTGTGGGGAGGCTAAAGTAACTAATTTATGAGGCCATAAAAAAGACTCCAGCAAAGCACTCCAGCAAAAAAGCATGCGGGGAATGCGGAAGTACTTCATCAGTGTTGCAGATGGACGATGAAAGCGACAGCTCCCCTGGCGGCCAGAAAAAGTTAAATAGCCTCTGTGTATGTCTGTATATGTTGTAAGTCAAAATTGGCATTGAATGTTTGCCATATATGTGTACACTGTAATCCGCCCTGAGTCCTCTGCGGGGTGAGAAGGGCAGAATATAAGTGCTGCAAATAAAATAGTAAATAAATAGTTGTGTTCTTGTTATATTGTTTTACTGTATTGCTGGGCTTGGCCTCATGTAAGGCGCCTCAAGTCCCCTTGGGGAGATGGTGTGGGGTATAAATAAAGTTTTATTATTATTATTATTATTATTTCTGGGGTGTGGGTAGATGGACCTTTGGGAACATCGCTGTTTTTTAAACACGGATGCTCCTGGGACAACGGCTTGTCAGGAACCGCCCTGAGTCCACACTGACATAAAGTAAAGTTCAAAGGAGAAAATGTGGGATTTTATTCAGCTGTGTGGAAGAGGCCCAAGACTTCCTTGCCCAAGAAAACCCTGTGAGATCCATGTGGGATTTGTTGTTTGGCAAGGCACCAGCATTCTTTGGCAGAGAAGGCTCTGAAGCAGGCTTGGGCAAACTTAGGCCCTCCAGGTGCTTTGGACTTCAACTCCCACAATTCCTAACAGCCTCAGACCTTTTCCCTTTCCCCCTCAGCCGCTTAAGCGTCTGAGGCTGTTAGGAATTGTGGGAGTTGAAGTCCAAAGCACCTGGAGGGCCTAAATTTGCCCAAGCCTGCTATAAAGACATTGCAAAAGTACAGCTCCTGTGATTCCATAGCATTGAACCATAGCAGTTGAAGTGGCACCAAAGTGCATGAATTCTACAGCGGGTCCCTCTTCCCAGGAAGACAAAATGATTCCCGCCTTCTACGAAGCCGCTCTTGGAGAACTTCGAACCGTGTGTGTATCAAGGCCCTTCGGTAGAAACCCCAATTACTTTCTTCCCCCCTTTTGTCGGAATTGCCACCCTCAACGCGGCCTCCCTCCCTCCGCTCCTCGCCTCACCTGAGACCGGCCTTTCGCAGAGTCCAACGTTCCGCCCGGAACCAAAGTGCCGGGGAAGGGTTTCCGCGGGGACTCCTTACAGGAAGGACGCGCCAAGATGGCGGACGCTGCTGAGGAGACCTCAACGATGGAAGGATTCAAGAAGCCGGCCCTCCCGCCTCCTGGTCCGCCGGTTCGAGGGAAAGAGGGCGAGGCGGCTCCGGCTCCTGCGAAGCTCCCCCGAGGCCCCGCTCCCGGCCCTCCCCCGCCGGTGCTGCCGGACTACCAGGAGCCGCCCTGGGGAGGCCTACCGGGCCCGGAAGGCGCCTCCTCGGTGTACAGCCTGGAGGTGCTGAAAGGCGGCGCGGTGCTGGACAGGCTAGGCCTGGGCGGGCGGAGCTGGCTGATGGTGGGCCGCGCTCCCGGCTGCGAGATCTCGCTGGCCCACCCGTGTGTCTCGCGGCACCACGCCGTGCTCCAGCACCGCCCGCCCCCCGGGCAGGGAGAGGCTGCGGAGAAGGAAGGCCCCGAGCCGGGCCTCTACGTCTTCGACCTGGGCAGCGCCCACGGAACCTTCCTCAACAAGGCGCGCCTCCCGCCCAAGACCTACTGCCGGGTCCGCGTCGGGCACGTCTTGCGCTTCGGAGGCAGCAGCCGCCTCTTCGTCTTGCAGGTCAGCGGAGAAGGTGGAGACTTGGGCGGGGGGTCTGAGGGTCCTTCCACACAGCCCAACATCTCAGAATATCAAGGCAGAAAACCCCATAATATCTGCTTTGATCATGTTATCAGAGTCCACACTGCCATATATCCCAGTTCAAAACAGATAATTTATTTCACGCCTAGCTCCAGCAGACAAGAGTCATTTGTCCCATTCCACAGATATAAAGGTAAAGGTAGTCCCCTGACATTAAGTCCAGTCATGTCTGACTCTGGGGTGTGGTGCTCATCTCCATTTCTAAGCCGAAGAGCGTTGTCCGTAGACACCTCCAAGGTCATGTGGCCGGCATGACTGCATGGAGCGCCGTTACCTTCCCGCCGGAGCAGTACCTATTGATCTATTCACATTTGCATGTTTTCAAACTGCTAGGTTTGCAGAAGCTAGGGCTGACAGCGGAAGCTCATGCCACTCCCCGAAATCGAACCTGCAACCGTTCAATCAACAAGCTCAGCAGCTCAGTGCTTTAACCCACTGCGCCACCGGGGGCTCCTTCCACAGATATATAAACCCCTTTTACCCAGTTCCAGCAGACCTCACTACCTCTGAGGATGCTTCCCATAGATGCAGGCGAAATGTCAGGAGAAATGCCTCTAGAACATGACCATATAGCCCGAAAAAACCTACAACAACCCAGATAATTTATTATTTGTTTATTTCACATTTTTGTATCTCAGCCATTTCACCCTAAAAGAGGACTCAGGGCGGCCTTATAAGAGGCAGCGATTTGATGCCAATACATTTAAATATAAAAATAAACAAATACAATTAAAACATTATTTACCAAAACACCAATTAAAATCACATACTTACTTACCTAGGCGATCCCTCGTACTCCGAGGATGATGGTTCTCCAAGTGTATCCTGGCAGTGGGTCCGTAGGTGACTGTGGAGCCCTATTCTTGACCTGCATTTTTTCTCACAGTGAGGGCATCAGTTTCCAGGTGGAAGGCAGTCCCGGTTGGGGTTGGCTTGGCACGCCTTCCTCTTGGCACGTTTCTCTCTTTCGCCCTCCATTCGTGCCCCTTCAAATTCTATAGCACTGCTGGAGTGCTCAAGGGCCAGGGCTTCCCTTTTCTCAGTGTCCATGCCAGAGTTTTTAAGGTTGGCTTTGAGCTCATCTTTGAATCTCTTTTCTTGTCCTCCAACATTCCATTTTCCATTCTTGAGTTCGGAGTAGAGCAACTGCTTTGGGAGACAGTGGTCAGGCATCCGGACAACATAGCCAGTCCTTCGGAGTTGATGGCGGAGGGCCATCGCTTCAATGCTGGTGGTCTTTTCTTCTTCCAGCACGCTGACATTTGTCCGCTTGTCTTCCCAAGAGATTTGCAGGATTTTTCAGAGGCAGAGCTGATGGAATTGTTCCAGGAGTTGCATGTGGCATCTGTAGACAGTCCACATCTCACAGGCATATAGCAGGGTTGGGAGAACAATAGCTTTATAAACAAGCACCTTGGTATCCCTACAGATGTCCCAGTCCTCAAACACTCTCTGCTTCATTCAGAAAAATGCTGCACTCAAGCAGTGTTGAATTTCAGTGTCAATGTTGACTTTGGTGGAGAGGTGGCTGCCAAGGTAGCAGAAACATGGTTTTTAGCCTTCTCAGCCAAAGAGGTTTGGTGCCAAACTACAACTTTTAAGTGGTTCTACAATGTAGACACGCTCTATGGGCCCTTCAAGACAGGCCCTATATCCCTAGACCTGATCCTAGGTTTTCTGTTTATTCCAGATTATCTGAGAGTGTGAACTCACATAATCCAGTTTAAAGCAGAAAACCTGGATGTATTGCTCCCAGACACATCTTGTATTATCTCCCCTCTGGGCTGAGACCAGCCACATCATCACTGTGTGAATTGCCTCCCTCCTCCATTCCCTCCCAGTAGTACCACTTCCAAGCTCTTGGTTTTCTAATGGGCCAGGGAAGGCTTTGGAAATGCACTGGTGAAACTTTTGCTTGATGCAAGAGTGTGTTAAGCAAACCAGTAAATATTGAAGTCATACCACTGGCTGCCAATTTGGGTCTAGGTTAAAGTACAAGGAGTCGGTTATTACCTTTAAAATGTACAGGGTCCAGGTTACTCACACTTAGCCAAAAGTAGTCAGACTGTTACCCCAAGGATGTTTTCTTCATCCTGTCCCATCCCCCCAGACTGTGAAATAACATGTCAGAAGAGATATGTCAGTTTAACACTATCTGAGTTTAAATCAATAATATAGACCAGTGTCTTCCACTAGGCCTATCCAAATTATTTTCAAATTCTATTTCTCTAGTATTTATTGTATTATATTTTGTCATGTTAGCTGCCATAAATCCCTATGTTGGGAGAAAAGCAAAATAAATAAATAAATAAAGGAAATAAATATATACTTGAAAGGTGTGCATACAGATAGTTGGAAAGTGTTTCAAAAACATTAGTAGTTGTTTGTGATTCTTTTGTACTGCAAATATCCTGAAACATATCCTGAGTGCTCTTGTATGTCAGATATGTATCAAACCTTTCATACATTTTAAAGTCATGTGCTTTCAGCCACTACCAGGCTGTTTAGTTATGTATATTCTGAAAAGAGCAAAAGTAATGTGCACAGGGTTTGAAGCATCTAGTTTAAAAGAATAAAGAATTGTATCAGTCAGTATTCATAAGTCATTAATAGCTATAAGTAGTTCTGAAGCAATAGCAATATTTTTTCCAAGCATGCAGTCTTTTAATATATATATATATTGCAGGGTCCAGGGGAGGATCAAGAACCAGAATCAGAATTGAGTGTAACCCAGTTGAAAGAATTGCGTAAGCAGCAGCAGGCCAAATTAGAGAAAACGATGCTGGGTGATGATTCTGATGAAGATAAAGATGAAAAAGAAGAACAAAGAAATAAAACCAATCAGAATACTGATCTGAGTTGTTCCTGGGGAATTGGTAAGATATAATTCTATGTACCATGAAGTATGAGTTCATTGCATTTTGTCTGCTTTTATATCTTCTGCTTCAGTAGAATTAGACATCATTTCTAATGTTTGTTTGACAGTGGGGCTATTAGAAATCTGTTCCAAGCTTAGTACATGCATTTTCCTTCTTCCTATTAATATTGGTGTGGCATCTATCTACCATATTCCTAGATCGTACTCTGATTAGTACTTGTTCTGGTTTTTAAAAGAACTACTTGTGGTATAGTGGCTTGAGTCATGGACTATCACTTTAAATACTAGGCTTCAAATGCTGGCTCAGCCATAGAAATCTACTGGGTGACTTTGGGCAAGCCACTCTCTCTCAGTCTCAAAGTCGCCACAAATTGGAAATGACTTGATGCCACATAACAACATATACTCATCTAGCCATCCTTCTCATTTTTAGGACTCCATGGAGCTGGATCCTGCCTTCAATCTGTAACTGTACAATATTGGCAAACTGAAAGGGCCATCTCCTTAGCTTTCATTTTAAGCCTATATCTTACAGAAATATTGTCTTCCTTATGTATAAGAAATTAATCGGCATCATACTGTCTTTTACTTCTGTTCTGATTCCCAATTTTTACTGTCTTTGTTTTTCAGGGGAAGATGCAGAGGAGGAGGAAGGCGAAGAAAACCCAATTGCCATTGAGTTTCAGGAGGATCGAGAAGCCTTTTATTTGAAAGATCCAAAGAAGGCATTGCAGGGGTTTTTTGACAGAGAAGGTATATGTGTGGTCTGTGATACTTTTTCATGTTTAGTGGTGTCCACTCCAGCTGTATTATATTCCGTTTCATTTATGTTATACTGCTTTTAACATTTTGATAATTTGTATCAAACACTATTAAAACTGCAACATATAGAAGAGCTGCAAAATATACTTAGTATGCACCCTTCAAAAGAAGTAAGTCTAGGAAGGCCATTTTTTGTCTTAATTCTTAGTTTGCTTACCTATATCCAGCCAAGTATAAACTGTAGATAATAACTTAGAACCTTTATTATTTCCCTTGAAATAAGAAA